AACCACATTTACATACCTTTTATTACAGTATATTTTTATAATTGTTCTATTTTAAATTATTGTTAATCTCTTACTGTGCCTAATTTATAAGTTAAACTTTATCATAGGCATGTATGTGTAGGTAAAAACAGTATATGCAGGGTTTGGTACTATCTGTGGTTTCAGGCATCCACTGGGGGTCTTGGAATGAATCTCCGCAGATAAGGGGGAACTACTGTGTGTCACTCGTATGGATGCTGGGACAATCATAGCCACCCTTGAGAAGAACTTATGTTTTTAGATACCCCATGGGACTTCACTCTGACCAAGGAACATTCTTCACTGCCGAAGCAACATGACAATGTTATGTTGCTTGGAATACAATGGACTTGCCATGCACCCTGTCATCCTCAGGCCAGTGGAGCCATTGAACTTTGGAACAGCCAACTCACACAGCAACTGACGAAAGGACATCAAAATGGCCTGCTAGTGGGGCTAGTGGGGTGATACCCCCATCTGACTAGGGCAGTATGGACACTAAATGCTTCACTCCAACTCAAGGGAAACACAGTACCACAGCACATGTTGAGAAACACTGAGCTTGGGATGGAGGTGGTCTAGGCAACCACCTGATTAGGCTGTGCCTGCAAAGTTCCAATCTTAGTGTTCTCAACCATCATTTTTCTTTTCCCCTCTGGAATGCACATCCTGGGGATGGTCTGCAGTTCACACTGCCATAGTATCCTAGACAGGGCACTATGGCCTAATCTGAGGTGATGCTTCCCCCAGGTGCCTCTCTTTTATGAGATCCAAAGGGGGGGGGGAGACAGGACCAAGGAGTACCAGGGTTCTAGGGTCCATCTAGTAGCACCAGGGACATCTGATCTTTCCAGTTAGGTGGGGGACATTATCGGACATGTCACGTTTGTTTGGGATGACCTTCCCTTCCTAGATAGGCGATAGAGACCAAAAGCTCTGGGTCAAGCAACAAGGGCAATAGGTGCCCCCAGAGGTAGTAGCCTCAGGACAGACAGACTAGTTGCTACACCAACTCAGTCCAACCCTTTTCTGGTAAGTTGGGAACACCTAAGATCCTGGGAAGGGTGAGGGGTGGGACACTAACCTGTCAATCTGCTTTTCCCAGAAAGATGTGACAGCAGAGGCCTGGAAACATAATGCCTTCATTAGGCTCTCCCAAGCTGTGGCTACCAAGGGCAACCTGATTAAGTGCTGGATCTGCCATCCCAGACCTCATTCTGTCACAGACTACAGTGGGTTTACGTCCTTTATGACATCTTTGGTACCATACATAGGATCAGTGCTCATGAAAAAAAATGGTAAGAAACCTGTCCCTGACCATGGCAGATACTGCTTCCTCCACTGCCAGTGCCTTGGCAGCCCAGCAGCCACCCCTCAACTCCCTCAGGAAGGTTGTTTTACATAGAGGAATTGCTCTAGACTTTATTTTACCCAACTGGGAGGAGGGTGTTTGATTGCCAACACTGCCTGTGGTACCTGGATAAACATCTCATGCACAGCATTGTTGAAACATAAGTAGAGATCTGAAAGCAGGACCACTGGCTGCAGACCCCAGGCCCACCTGAAGGATCTGTCTTTGACTTCTTCAGCAAATTTGTACCTGGATTGCTGGGATTCTGGGCTAGGCTGCTTGTCCAGGAAGACCTGACCATTCTGCTTGTGGTAGTAGTCCTTATGGGTCTAGTAAAGTGAATTCTGGTTATGGCTTAATGTTGCACTGAGATTGTGTCAGTGAAGGTGTTACATTGATCTCATAAGACAGACATCTGCCTCCACATCTGGGAAGATCAGTGGGCATGTGAAATGGACCTGCTTTGTTAAGGGGGCTGTTTAGGTTAGGGGGTGGATTGCAGGATAGTTCTCCAGGTAGCCTTAGACTGACCCAATTCTTCCCCTTCTTGCTTGGTTCTCAAGAATAACTGTAGAATGTGCTGGGAATGCAGGATCCTATGATAACAGACTGGCCAGATCAGCCTGGCTCTGTTCCAGTACCCCCTAGAAACAGAAAGTCCTTCAACACTTTAGCCCAGTGTGTCATGTGTCCCTCCAGAGTATAAAACCCAGGACAGGCTGCTTTCTGGGGTCCCTCAGCTGCTGTGAAGTGGGGTATATACAGACAAGATTTCATCCACCCTGGGCAGCTTTCCTGAGCCTTGAGAGACCAGCTCCTGATGAATTCCAGGCTTCTGTTCAGCCTTGCTGCCTATATGTAGTGTGCACGGATGTTCTCTCTCACCGGACTCAGACAAGTTGGTAACCAGTGCACAGTGAACCTGCTTCACATAAGCTTTTGTGTAGATACATGTTTTCATTTCTCCTGGGTAAATATCAAGGAGTGAAATTGTTGACTATGGTAACTTTATGTTTAACCTTTTTAAAAGAAACTGTGAAACTCTTCCAAAGCGATTATACCATTTTACATTCAGAACAGCAATATGTGAGAGTTCCAGTTCTGTGTCTTTAACAATACTTGGCACTGACAGTGTTAAATTTTAGTCTTCATAAAGGCGTGTAGCAGTATCTCATTGTGGTTTTAATTTGCATTTTCCTGTTGACTAATGGTGTTGAGCATCCTTTCATTTTTTTTTGACTTTCGCATATCTTTTGTAAAGTGTCTGTTTAAATACTGTATATCAGTCATTCTTTTTTTTTTTTTTTTTTTTTTTTTTTTTTTTTTTTTTT